GGGGGGGGGGGGGGGGGGCTTGAGGTTAATGTAAACAAATCCCCTTCTCTCTTTTAGCAGAGCAGCAGCAGTTAGCAGCTGGGACAAAACATCAGCAGGTTCACCGTCACACCGTGGTCTCTCGCTGACTTACTGACTAACGTTTGGTGCAGAAAACAGCAGCAACCAGCGTTTATCTCGCTTGTTTGGTGTCAGATAGACAACCAGTGCCTGCTCGTCTGGGCGAGAGGTGTCGTTACTAGCCTGCTAGGTAGCGTTGGCTAACTCGTACCCAGCGATTAACGCTTTGCTTTTTCTCACACGGGTCATTAAAACATCGACTCCAAGTGTGTGTGTGTGTGTGTGTGTGTGTGTGCGTCTTTTTTAAATGTGGCCTTCTCGGTGTCAAGGAGTCACACCTTGGACTACAGGAAAGACGTTTCTTAGCTTAGGTGCAGCTATCTTCGAGGCTACCGTCATTAGCACTTGTTACAGCAGGCTCACCTTCAGTCTGACTTCATACGTGGTGTATCTGCCCCTGCCGACCCCGATGGTCTCCGGGTTGCTCACGTCAATCTCTAGAAAATTACTCGGGGGTCCATAGGCGTCGTTTAAGTTCTGAGGCTTACTGAAAAGCCTTCTTGTGTCAGCTATGGTATCAGCCATTTCTGTCCTGTCCTCTAGCAGCTAGTGATGATGTGAAGTTAGCGAGAATGCGAACGCGTACGCTCTGTTGGTGCCCTTCAAAATAAAACATTTGGTGAACGTTGTATCCGCGTAATAACAGCTACGGTGAAAAGGGGGCATTCGTTTGAGGGAGTGTGTTTATTTTATTACAACGCGTATTTATATGCACGCTTTCCCACCCGACTGTGTCTTTTACACGCCTGGGAATTGTGATTGTAGCTTTTATGTTGAAGGCAAAACACCCGAGTTCCGGTGTTGCTCTGTCTCTAACTGCCGCTAGCTTTAAAGGGCACTTCCGATCAGCTGAGGTTCAGCTGACACCGCTCGGCCACCTGGTGCTCGGTTTGTTTACAACCCGCCACCGGGCACATTGACGGCTCTTTTAACGACGTGTCTACTTAGTTTTAATAACTGTGTTGGTATAATGCGGATGAACTGCACTTTAAAATAAAGTAATGGCTGCTAAAACGTGTAAAAACACAGGCAAAATCCGACGTTCAGAGTTCTTGACGTGTTTGGGATTTAATGCTTAAAATGTTGCTGTTGTTATTTTAAACTTTACTTAGAAAAAAAAAGCGGAATGTTTAATCTTTTTAATAATAATCATACCATCCAGTCATATGCAACAACAATGATGTTTACAGGCCTAAAATGTGCAGCAGTGTGCGTTGTTTACAAGCTCGACTGTAAAGAAATGTTCAAGACTAGTGTTACATCTGATTAAATCTATTCAGAACTTCATGTTTAAATCCCCTCCACGCCTGTGTCATGTGGCCTCCATGTGTCAAATGAATCTCAATAAAGTTTTCGCGTTTTGAAGCATCATGGCGGCTTACACGGTGCCTGCTGCTGTCAGATGCCCAATAAAATGTTTAATTAAAGACACTGTCCTCACCTCAAAGACTATGTGCCGTCTGTCCGCCGTCTGCACTGGAACAGGTACGCGTCTTCCCGTCACGTTGAAGTGAATAGTGTTGTGCGAGTGTGTTTACAAGCTGCATGTTTGGTAACCTTGCTGGCTGCATAACACACAACCTCTGCATTGCACTGACTGTTGCATCTAAAAGAATCGGTGTATATCTGCAATCGTTGGGCGGCGATTAACACAGATTACTTGTGGTTTTCATGCTTAAAGGGTACACTAGCTGGAGGACATGCAGTTCATCTCCAGCAGCAGATGTCTGTGGCTCTGTCGGACGCTATGATCGCCTCGTTCAGCGTGGCTCCCTGAGGAAAGATGCTCAGCAGAGAGATGTTGTTCAGCGGCTGGCTCAGCTGCAGCTCACTCTGAGGGACTACAGTAACAGCATCTACTTGAACCCGCCTCCACCGAGGCCAGACTCAAAAGATGACAGCGGTCAGCTCCCAGGAGATAAAACCCATGCAACAGCTGAGAGTAACGGTGGTGCATCTGCTGCTGAGGTAAAGGAGTCATAACACATTAATGCATGATCTGATAATCAAACCCTCAATACTCCCAGATGGAATACCAGCAAATACTAAAAATATAAATGAACATTTAGATTGATTTTGAAGTATCCTTGTGATTTAGATTATTCCTCGTTGACATTGACACCAAAAGCAACCAGTTTCTTGATGTGTCACTCAGATTTAACCACATTTCCAGCAATGTCCAGGATAAAACATGCTACATATTCAAAGCTCCCCCTGTCTGCCAGGTACACGACTTCTCTCTGACTTGTAAAGTAGATATATTGCATGTTACAAACATGAAACAGAAACTCCAATAAGCCCCCACCCCTTCCAGTGCACAGTTTGCATAGGAGAGAGAGTATTTGCGTGTTGTTGCAGACTGTGTCAGTGAATACAAGACTACCAGCAGGCCTAATCAAGACTATTGATTGAATCCAAACTCAACTCCTCCATATGATATGGTCTTCATCAGTGGGTGGAAGTGGATCAGTTTTCATGGCCCTATGGGTGATATTATAGCAGCTACTGTACCTGTATGTTAAAGCAACCTCCATCTAGTGATGAAGACACTGCAATAGAAAAATGGTGAATATTTTAATTGAACTGTAGAAGTTAGCCCAATGGTAGAATGTGTAAGAATTGTTGACTGTTTTTAGGTTTTAATCTGCCAATCTACAGAACAGAGTTCCCACGTGTCCTGGAAAACCTCTAGATTTCTGGTCATGGAAACACCTGGAAATTGATTAAAATGACCAAATATCCTGGAAATAATCCATGTTGTTGTCCAATGTTTTTTTTTTTTTCCCCTCACTCAGATTGCCTACGTAAACTTGGGTGCAAATATTTTGTTTGCAACTCAAAATTCTCATATGTACATGCATACAGCCTATTAATGATCACATTTCTTATTGCTGTGATAAATGCACAGTGATGTTAATTGTACGTGTAATTAGTACTTTAACTTTCTCAAAGATTGATGTTAGAACTGTTACTTAAAGGTTGTGGCCAAATAAATGCAGTCAATTTGCCTGAAACCTCAGCTTATATGACTGTTAGTTAGTAAGCATGTGCTGTCCTGGATTGTCAAAAAAAACTCCTGGAAAGGTCTTGGTAAAGGATTTGTGAAAAGAATTGGAAACCTAATATGGGTTAACTAAATGTTATCAGACAGGGATCCCAGAGGAATACATGCTATGGGTCCACGGCCTAATGTGTATTAATTTGGGGACACCAGAAAGTTTGAGGACCACTACTCTACATATGTTAATAAACAATCAATAATGAGGAGTCAGTTGAGATTTTGGATGCTTCTAAATCATTGTCATTTTGAACCAGAACTGAGGGGTTGTTTTAAATTGTTTGGACTTTAAACAAAAGGGTTAGGTTTAAGGGTTAGTAGTGTACACGCTGCCGTGTAATTTCAGAGAATTCAAACTCAAATAAACAGTTTAAAAGTCAGAATCATGCACTTAGTAGAAAATAGTGTACACTTTAAATGGCTGCATGGATTTGTTTAAAGCCTTTTACAGTCTGGCATCTGGACTCTCATTTCTTTTATAAAGCCCCCAATGACGTCTAACATATGGAGCTTACTTCACAGAGTCCACTGGACTGTACTCCAGTTGTATCACTGATGGTGGCCATTGGGCTCTGGTCAAAGGGGAGGGTAGGGGTCTGGGAAGAGTATTGTGCATGTGAGTTTTGGAACGGCATGATGTAGGGGGCTGTTGTTGTTTTTAGGTCAGGGGAGCTGACTGTCTAGTATTTGGTGGTGGGAGTTTTTTTTTGTTGGTTGGCTGGCACAGACACATAGGGTTAGGCAGAGATTTTGGAAGGCAGCAGGGCAGACCTCCCGCTGGGCCCGTCCCGGCACCCCTCTCACTCTCTCACCGTCCCCATGCAGTAATGAGGGGATCCCCATTGTCTGGGCCATTCTTGTCCTTTTTGCTTTTGATTCGGGACTCTGACAAATACTTTGGTGTTAGGCTATCAACACCACCGCCCCCCTCTCCTTTTGCACCTTATTTCTTGCTCTGTCTCTCACACACACACATAGACACTGACTGGAGTACTTACGCAATTATTCTGGTTTGAATCAGGTCATACCACTGTCCTTTCGGTGTCTGTTCTCTCTGTGAAAGTGCCGCCATTGTACTCACTAACTGACCAAGTCTGTGAGGAGAGTACACTTGACTTAATATTGACCCAATGTGGCGTGGTTTTGCGGATGGTCGGCTAACAATGGGCCATTGTTTAGAGGGCCACCCTCTTCAAGTCAGACCTGCATCATAGAGTCCTCCTGTACATTGTAGGTCTCCAGCAGTTGTACCAGTTAAACCAAACTGAGACTCCCACAATCACTCCATTAACCTTGTTAGTGAGAGACATGACATCTCTGGCTGCAGATGAACATGTTCAAACGCAGTTTTCAGAGTCAAAGTGGCCATGTCCTGCATGTGAACTTTACACTCATGTGCCAGTCTATATCCTCCGATGGGAGGTGAGACAAGGCCACAGAGCTCAGCTAGACAGAGTGGTTGAGGGACATCCTTGTCCTTCTCCACTCTGCCGTGGCAGAATGGCTTCCAGCCGCCACTGACAATTACCCCACCATGCTAGAGGGCAGCTTGGGAAGTCAGGGAGAAGTCACACACTGTTTTGCCAGAGCAGACAGGAAAGGCTTGTTGCTCTTCCAGTATTTCGCTCCAGCACAGGATAGGCGGGGTTGGAGGAATGGAGGGATGAAGGGGGTACAGGGGAGGAGTGGGGAGAGGGCAGGGAGAGAGGATGGGTAACAAGTTTGTTTTTTCATTTAGTTTTCAATTGGCCATTGTCTGCATTTACCAGAGTCAAGTGCTCCTTGTGCGGTGGACACCAAGTGCAGTAGACACTGAGTACCGTCTCTATGAAATAGTTGCTAAATTAAATTTTAAGAGGACAGACCTTCCTATTTAGTGCTGAGTTAATTCCAAAGCTATTTGCCGTTGCCCGGTTACAGAGATGGACAATCCTAAACCACACTGTTGTTAAAACCTTATAAAACATCTATCATCGGTCCTCCTGTATACAAATATGTTCACGTTATCACTACGTATCGTGGTTAGACTGATGACATATGCATTTACATAGCTCGGTCCCTCTTTAGAGATATTTGGCTTTACTTGATATTCTCAGCTTGGTCACACAGAAGACGTTTTTTTGAAGCAAAGACCTTTTGATGATAGGAGGCAGGCAGCACAATGACTTCCAGCAGCACCTCAATGCAACAGTACCGTATCACAATTAGCAGCGCTAAACAGGCTGCACAGACAAGTCCACTCCATCTCGTATGGAGCCTCATCCAGTCCTCTCCGTTTTGTCTGACAAATCCCCCCATTGTTCCTCTGATGATGCTTTTCTTTCGTGGGAACCCTGGCTTGTCTTGTTGATTAGATCCCCTTTGTCTTCCTCCCCTGCAGTGGGCTAGTCTGGAGAATGTGAAACCTCACACTGTAGTGGTGGCTTAATGCCTCAGCATACTTTGTTTATTAAACGATGATTCAGTCTTATATGGTAATGAATATAACAAAGTTTATTTAGGTCACCAGATATAGTGTTTTGTGATTTTAATAGGGATTTCATCTATGCGTTCATTTTGAATAACCCTATTGGTTTATGGTTAATTGTTTTGTATTATTGTTTATGATGACAAGCAGCTGTTTAAAGATTTAATATAAAACAAGGATACTGTAGGCATTTCCTCATTTTTCCTCTCTACCCCCCAAAGGAGGAACCCCTTCCACCACTACCACCCAAAGGGTTCTATATCTATGGAGACGTTGGTAAGATCACACATGGGAAAGGTCTTTCTTATCATAGAATTAAATACTGTATCACTGTGGCATTTTCTGTGGTGCTAAATCCTCCAACCCTAACCCTTTTTCCTTAATCCCCCTCCCTTTCAGGCACAGGGAAGACCATGATTATGGATATGTTTTACTCCAGCGTGGAAAACACTCGTAAAAAGCGGGTCCACTTCAATGGCTTCATGTTGGACATCCACAAAAGTTAGTATTATCCTCCCACTCCACGGCACTAACCGCTGAAGGTTGGCTTGCATGACTTTATGGAAGTTTACTGACTCCTCATGCGCTGGAGAATCCTATATTTATCTCTCTGTTGGTCCTGAAGCCCTCCTGCTAATTGTCTACCATTATGCATACAGGTGAAATTACTGCTTTATTCAGTATTGTCTTTGGGTTTGCCGATGCAGGTGTGCTTTAAGATGTGCCTGACGTTTGTGTATTGCTTAAAGGGATTCATCGGAGGAAACAAAGCCTGCCAAAACGAAGGCTAGGGAAAATGTTCACCTATGACCCCATATCACCGGTTGCCATGGAGATCAGCAATGAAACCTGCCTCCTGTGTTTTGACGAGTTTCAGGTGAGCCGGTGCGTTGTAGGCTGCGTGTGTGTGTTTGTCTGTTCTTAAAACCTGCTTTAATATTGGCTACAAGTAGAAAACTAGACAATAAGAATTCTCAATACTGTATTTAGACATTTTCGAGAGAGACCTGGTTAAAACACAGCAACAATACAACAAAAAAGTTACAGACATGTTATGTGTTTATAATATCAGCCGCATATATTTGCTTAAAACAGTAAATACTAGTACTAAATCATCTGTGATACTGTTAAATATTCTGCTAGTACAACTCTATATAATAAATGTATGCTCATGCTTAGGTAAGTTATTGTAAAAAATAAAAATAACCTGTTAGCTGGGAAGATTAAGTTAATACCATGAAGTCTATTGGGGTATATTGCGTATATAGTATAAATCATATCTATGTCTGTTGTTCTTAAGACATGTTAAAGGTTCAAACAATTTTGCAAAGTAAAAAAAATAACAGAAAAAGCTAATTTTACATGTTGTATAAACCGCAGTCAATCTGACATACAGTCGATCTACTGATAGCAGAAGTTTGACAATAGGTAGTCATGTTCCAGTTTCAGTACATAAATTATTCTAACTCATGCTGAATATATATATTTTTTATATGTGTAGATATTTAATATTCAAGCCAACAGTAGATATGTTATATATTAAAGCCAGTAGAAGCACACAGGACATGAGACTTTGTCACATACAGTAACTCCTAGATCTTGAAATCTCAAAAAAAAGAAGGAAACAAAATTATATTTTAATGTTTTGATTATTATGTGTGCTTGAGCGGTAACTGCTCTATGGTTTACATTTATTTCTTATTAGTTTTGGAACAAGGGGTGAAAAACATGTTAAATGTGGCACTCTGTGTATTATGAGTTCAGAGTTGAGTGTTCAGTCTGTGATCACTATTAGTGTTCAGTCACAGCCGGTGTCTTTCCTGTCTTGTCAACTGGATGCTTCTGATCTTGATACTCCCAAAAACAGGACTGGGGACACCTAGTGGCCTTTTTTGAATATAGCATAATTGTAAAATGACTTCCAGTAGCAATGAAACATCATGTAGTCATTTACTAATGCAGTAGCATTAAATACAGGTGTAATCTCGCCTGTATCAAGGCATAACATTTAATTGTCATTACCTTGAAACTGCAGCAGTCAGTTGAGTCAGTGATCTGTTCCTTACACACTTCTCCTGTTCCTTCTGCTCCCAACCCACTGCAACCAAGTCATGCATAGTTTTTGTACATTGGATTTACACAACTAAAAGGCACCTTCAGCCATTAGTGCTGCTGAACCTCTCATTATTTCACCCTTTGGTGTTAAAGGAGAGAGCCACTACTGGAGCCCTCTCTACTCTCTGTAAGGTAGTTAGTCATTCACTGCAGTAGAGAAAGACGTCTTTTTTTATAATTAGCCGACCAAACACATCTGTTAGCGGTACAATGTTGTTCCTCTTACTGATATCATTACAGTTAATGCCAGGAGGTCAAAGGTCACAGAAGGTGCGCTTACTCCCTCTAATCACTCTCTATGCATCTGTGAGGATCAAGAGCTGCTCCTTTCATCCGCCCGTCTTTCACATTTTAAACTGCGGCGCTGTTTGTGCATTCTCATTGATTTGTTTTGTTTGCTGTCGCCAGCTTTGCTGTTTTCGCTTGTCGACTGTTGCTACCGGTGAATGGAGGGGAAACAAGTAGACATGTGCGTGTTGTTTGTGATGCATAAACAAGAGGTTGCGAGGTTGCGAGACTTGGGGATGGAGGGGGGGTGGGGGGGTCTGTACCAATCAGCATCCTCCTCCACTCAGCCATGCAAATGAGGCTCTG